TAATTACATTAACATTCAGAAATTGGAACGTTGAACTTCTCACCTAGCCCCTGTGGCTGAATGGTACACCCATGAACTATTGATAAACAGTCCTAAGTTTGGATCCTGATTGGCTCAGATGAGTATATACTAAATAATCTCTGAATTACCTGGGCTTGGTCAGTTGGAGGATGACACCTCAAGTCCGTCCCCCTTAAACAAAAGGACATAATGTTGAACTTCTATGTCGTCTACCCCGCATACTCCTCCAATTGCAGGGCGGGAGAGTGTGCAAAGGGGCTCGCGTACCGAAATGTTCACAGCGCGCCAGTAAACGAGAGTGTGCGCCCCGGGGGTGGGGAACACGGCCAGCGTTGATGCGGACGAACATCTCGGAGATGAGCCATCCGATATGCGGGTGGAGTTTCTTTTTCTTTTGTTTCCATTTCCCGCGCGTTCTTTCGCCAAAAAGTTACTTTTAAACCAATACCCAGAACTCCTATCTCTCCACTTTGATCACAGTGCCGCTCTGACTTTCTCTCCAAGCATTAATCCTCTCTGGATTCCAGACAAGCGTCAGTTCAATCAAGCCTGGAAATGATATGCACATATCCTGAGCAGCATAGAAGTCAACAGTGTGAAGAGCATCAGCCAAAAGACTCCAAGAAAGCAATGCTCTCTCTGCAGATCCCAGATCCCACCTCGAATCCTCTGTCCTCACTCGCATTCTCTCTCCTACAGCTAATGTGGCATTCTGAGCCACACGGGCCCCAGTTAGGGCCTGGTTCCAGGTAGGCAGGGTAGGCCTAAGGGGACGATGGTTCAGATGAGGCCCAGGTAGGCCAGGGGTACGGCGGTTCAGGCAGGCCAGGGGTAGAGGCCCAGGCCAATGGCCACAAGGCCGGTACCGGTCCAGCGTATTTCAGAGGCTGCCGGGTTTAGGCGCCAAGTCCAGTTTTGAATCTGGACCGTTGATCAGATCAACGGTCCAGGCCGGTAGGCACCAGAGGTAGGAGGCCGGCCCAGCACTACAAAAGGCTGGGTACCAGCCTCAGTAGGGAGGTTAGTGAGATAGGATGTTAGTCTTCGGGATTAGCGCCACAATGCAGCGTTAGCAGGATTAGCGCAGCGCGAGCAGCGTTAGCCAGCGCAGCGAGGAGAAGGCGAGCGCAGCGGCGAGAAGGAAGCAGCGCAGCGGCCCTGTCGCGCCATAGCTACCGGATCAGGTACTGGGGAGGAACGCCTTGCCTTCTCTCCCTCTGTTCCTCCGCTCCTTCTCTCTCTCTCTCTCTCTCTCTCTCTCTCTCTCTCTCTCTCTCTCTCTCTCTCTCTCTCTCTCTCTCTCTCTNTCTCTCTCTCTCTCTCTCTCTCTCTCTCTCTCTCTCTCTCTCTCTCTCCTCCTACCTTCTCAGTCTAAGTCTACTCCTGGGTTCTCCTACGGGGCTACTCTCGGTATGAAGGATGTTACGAGTTCTGATGACATTGGAGACAGCGACATTGGGACTACATGTTGGGGACTACTAGGGGGATCTGATTTCATCTTCCTATGGAGATGTACTTGACATTGTGAGAACGATATCTGAGACATTGTGAGACACTGTGTTCGCAACATTTCGGATTTTCGCTACCTCTGACATTTCAAGATACTATCTTTGGAAACATTGAGTTGACGTCATCCTCCCTCTCCTCCTCCCTTCGTCTCTCTCCTCTCTCCCTTCGTCCGTGGATGATCTCAGACCCTGGCCTTTCATCTATGTCTAAGGCCAGGGCTTTCACACCCCTGATGTATGATTGAGAGTGTTCGTTTGCAGTCCAAGTCAGGTCAGAGTCAGTCCATGTCTCTCAAGTCTTCCGCTGTATTTGTATTTACTCTGTATTATCTGGTCGGCTCTGGGAATCTGCGCCATACTTATGACTGTGTTTCACGAGGTTGCAACAGTTTGGTATCGGAGCAGACCAGCATTGGATGACTCACCATTGATTGATTGATTGATTGATTGATTGATTATCTACACCTGTACTCTGTTATCATTAAATCGCAAGTTGCAATTTTTTTTTCTTTTTCTTTCTCGTACTTACATAGTAATTAGGTCGTTTAGGTTTTGCGACTTTTGCGCAAATTAGGGAATCGATAATTACGATTAACCTAATTAGCGCTAATTACGGTTAGTCCTAACCTAACCTAACGACCTATCAAGTCTATGGGAAGTAAGCGCCAGTCAGGCGCCATGCCAATTAAGGCAGATTGGGCCTGAGCACGGCCACATTCAACTGCAACTTCACGAAATTTTCACTTTTTGCAAACGCATCTGCATTGCGATTAAAGTTTGAATCTTTTCACGCAAATTGTGTATCTTCCTGCAACCATTGATCTTATACTTACCTCATGACCTCGTAATGATCCTAAACTCCCCCGATTAAATTTTGTGAAATTATTAAAATTATGTTTAAATGTTTAAACTTGCTTAAACTTTATTCATTTTTCCTTGTGAAACTTTAAACATTCTTTAATTAAATATTTAACTTTTGCAAAATTAATTCTTGCAAATTTAAATATTCTTTCATTAAATATTTATTTTTTTTCCAAAATTAAAATTCTATTTAATTAAATCCGTATTTACCGATTTTTTTTAATTTTTTATTTTTTAAACATAAACAGGGCCTTATGGTCCTGGCTCCTTCTATTCTGGGGAGCGTCAGTCCGGTTCTTATTCCACCGGCAAGTCAAGATAAATATTACATCAAGCACACTCACACACGCTTCCTTCCGTCAGGCCGAAGGATCCCTGCACAGCACTGATTGCTCCGCCGCGGTGGAGGATTGACTGTCAGTTTGCCCTATCCCACTCTTTCCTCTCAGACCTGGGGTCCAGATCTGCCAGATTGCACCATTGTCCCTAGAAAGAGCTCATCCGATAACCTTGCCAGCCTGTATCTTCCCCATGCACCTCCCTGCCCCTTTGGAAGATTTATGATAAACCTTAAACCCAAAACCCTTCGTTTGTGCGTCCGACCTCCAGTAGTCGAACTTGTACATTGGCAGGCATTGATTTCGCTTCCGGCCCCCTGCGATAAAGTCTTCCTTTGTAACCCGCGTTTATGCTCCCGTATTTTCCCTTAGTCAAACTGGTCCTTCTCTCTCCCTTGTTTCCTCATTGTTCGTGCCCCCTGGGCCCTTGATGGGCAGCTTACATTCTGTTGGGGCCTAGGATGCGAATATGCCCTCAGACGTTGCCTGCTGGCGAAAGCCTCTTTCTGATACTGAACCGTGCCACTCTCTCCAGCATACTCGGTCCTCTCGCAATTCTGCAATCTTGCCATTTATCAGCCAGTTCCTGTAGAATTTCTGCCTCTTCTTGTTACGTTGCTCTTCGTCTTCTGTCCAAGCTTGTTTGGTCTTCCGCCATCTGCAGAGAATCTCAGCTTGTATCAAAGTTCTGGTTTCTATCCACACCTTCTCCCATGGGTTGGACCGCCCCTCAATTGTCCTGCTGCATCTCTCCTTCCATATGACCCCTAGGGTCACTTTCCTGATGAGTTCAAACCAGATCCTTTCTGCCTTTTGCGCCTGAACAGGGATGCTAGTCAAGAGGAGAAGTTGAATGGGCTGCTCGGGGAAGGGAGAAGTGAAGAGGGAGTCCCAGAGTGATGAAGCTCTGGCCCAGTATTCAGTAGCCTCTTTACAACGCACCAGGCAGTGAACTATATCTTCTACGGCGCCTTCAGTGCATACTGTACATAACCCCGAGCTGTTGGGGTCTGCAGCTTTCCGCCTAGTGTGTAGCCATTGGTTCACCCGAAGGGCTGCGTACGCGATCAGCCACTGCAAACTTCTAATCTTGATTGGTCTGATGCCTTTGAATTTATCCCAGTGGATTCGTGTGATTTTGTCTGCTTCCCGCCCGACGAGATTCCGCCATCTGTTTTTGATAATAGGGTCTGGATTTTTGGCCTTTAGAGACAGTCTGTACCCAAGTTTGACTGTGTAATCCTGGATTGGAATTTTGGTCTTAATGTTGCAGGCCTTATTTGGCGTCCACGCCCATTCGGCTGGATCGAACTCCAAGTTACGGATTGTAGTGTCAGGTCTGTAGACTGATTTCSGCCATGCTCCTARGACCCTTACTTTYCGGAGTAGGAAGGAYTCTAAGACTGACGACTCTACWTCGCAATTCAGGATMGTTGGCGAACCCGTATTGGTGAGGGAGATCGGAAAAGAGAGGAAAGTGGCCTTAGTGTGTGAGCCTTGCTGCCAATGGGAGAATTGAAAGGCTCTAGGGGGTGTTGTTTCTTGAATCATCAGTCCCCACTCACCCGATCTCCACGACTCGTCTTTTGCCAGGATATCTTTCCATTCCTGCGGAATGCAGCTAAGTATATACTGGAGATTGGTCCCTCGTCTGTGGCAACCTTTCAATCGGGAGCTGACTTCTTGTTCCGTTACCCAGCCCTTTCTAACTTCCTTCCATAATTGGTCGAAATTTCACATACCGTTCTTGATCCAGGACAACCACCTCTGTTCTAGGAAGAGTGGGTTGTCCGCCTCGTTCTTTATCCATTCATTCCCGAAGAGCGGTTGCCTTAGTACTTCATCCTTGGATTTGGGTCTGTTCATCTTGTTGGGAAGTAATTAAATATTTAATTTCTCAAAATTCACAATTTTCGTGGGGGGGGGTGAAATTTTTTGCATAGTGTCAAGCTTCGAGGTCAGGGAGGAAAAGGGGCTGTCTGTGCATTGTTTGCCTCTCTGCCCTTTCTTCCACCCCTACCTTCTCTCTCCTCCTCTCGGTACTGCAGACTTCAGTCTCCGGCCATGTCAGCATTGTGCCACATCAGCAGCGGGCCATGAAGGCAGATTGCCACATCAGCCGTGTGCCACCTCAGCGTGCCACAACAGCCGAGTGCCAACTCAGCAGCGGCCACCACAGCAGTGCCACATCAGCAGGTGCCACCTCAGCGGTGACATATCAGCAGCAGACGAAGACCAGAGTACTTAATGTGCCGCAGTCAACGGCTTGCGGAGCGCGGATCCACAGCAACCAAGCCCCAACTGGGACCTAGGACCCCTCGGATCCCGCGCAGGCGACGCACGACCATGGCCGCTACCGCTGACGCCAATGCACAAGCCAGCCCCAAGAGGCCGGTTACCCCTCCTATCATAGTTCAGCAGGCCGATGAAACAATACTAGTGTTTCTCAAACGTCTCCAGCTCTACTGGGAGACCACTGCAGCTGAGTTGAGCAAGTGGGAAGAGGAGGAAGCCGCCCGCCAGCAGGAAATTCAACGCCAGCTGGCAGAGGCAGAGGCAGCACGCCAGCAGGCCGCAGCAGAAGCTGCAGCAGCCGCACGGTTGCAACAGCAGCAGGTCGAGGCAAGTCAAAACCAAGTTTGTTACCAAGCTACAATGGAGCTCGCCAACGAAGAAGCCACGTACCGGAGGTTACTCCGACAGCAGCATTTTCGAGCAAACGAAGAACAAGAGGAGCCGACAGAGGACGAGAGAAACAAGGAGCCCACAGCAGTTTTGATAAAGAATCTGCTGTACACGATCAATTGGCAGCAACGTGAACTGCTGGCCATGCGGCAGGTCTTCATCCGCCACGAAACAACGTTTAAAACACTAGACAAGAAGATCGCCGCCCACAGCCAGCAGCAGACACTCAACGACTAGCTGCAGACCGGTGTCAGCACGGGGTTGGCACGACTGTCGGCAACTGTGTCGACGGGCAACACAGTTGCAGACTGCAGCCCAGCCTTGGCCGCGCAGGCGAAGCAACTCGAGGAGCGGATCAACTACGTGGTCGCATCCCTCGGCGACATCAGCAAGTTTGCTGGGGCAACGACAGTCAGCAATCAGCTGCAGACGCTCAGCGACCGCGTTCAGCAACGACCGGCCGCCGTCGCCAAGGAATGGAAGATGCCGAACTTCAAGATCAAGAAGTTCGACGACTACCACAAGACTGATCCGCTGCAATGGTGGATGGCATTCAACGCAGAGGCGAACGTACACCACACCTCACCACTGCGGCGGCTTGACGCACTCTACCTCCAACTCATTGGAAAGGCGCAGGCCTTCATGACGCACATGGCGGTCACATTGGAATGCACCATCGCCACCCTCCACACCAAGATTCTGGGAGGAATTTGAGAAGAAATGGAAGACCCGGTTCATGGTCAACAACGACAAGCGTCACACCTTGAACAAGATCTTCCGCATGTTTCAAGGCCAGCAACCTTCACGGGAGTGGCTGACGGAGTGGCAAAGACTCGTCGCCACCCCGGAGTTGAACTTACCGTTCGACGCAATCTGGGCCAAATTCTTGGCTCGGTCATGTGACGCCTTGCCAGCTGCTCTCGGCAGCGAATTCCAGAATGAAACCTTTGATGACATACAAGGTAACCGGCGCACGGTCAACGAGGCCCGCCAACAGCCCGGTTACGTGGAGAAAGGCAAAGGTCAGCGGACACCGCAAGTAGCAGCAGTCCAGCAAGGACCTAGTGAGGACCACGCAGCCACGTCTACGTCAAGTGACGGAGATGTGGCGGCAGCGATACCACCGCAGCACTCAAGACCCAGAGGGGGAAAACAAACGACGAAACCAGCGTCGACTGATGGAGCACAACAGTCACCATGGACAAAGTTCGGCATTACCGAAGACATGTTCAAGTTGCAACAGAAATGGGAATGCTGTTTTGGGTGCAACAACACCAAACACATCACCAGCGCATGCCTCGACAAGGACAAGGAAAATGTCAAGCGTCCAAGCTCCGGAAACTGAGCACCGCGGGAAGTGCAGCGACATCACTTCCCAATCCGTCGGAGTCCTCTACCTCGCTAGCAGTCTCTCTCACATCCGGGGATGACGCGGTAGTCGCAAGTTCTCGTATTGATTTTGAGAACTATGATGTCGAGCTGATCCCACCGTTGAACCAGCCTCCCCACGTGCAGGATTCAAGCGCATATGCGGTAGTTCCGTCGTCGGACAACGAACCGGTTGCTTCGCCAGCCCTTCTATCGAAGGATCCGTCAACTTGGGCGAGTCTTGAGGAACTCGACCCGTTGACGGTTGAGGACTTCCAATGGTTGCCTCTTCCTCCACCGGTTCTTTGCCAACACCGCATTGCAACGCCTTGATGGCACATTTGCGTGAATACTTGCACGTTGCAGTACCACCTCCGTCGACGGACGGCGGAGTAGTGGTTGTTGATCTTCATAACTATCTTGCGAAGATCGACCGTGCGCACACAACGCAACGCTACGTCGACATCGACGCGCCACCCCTCTACATCCGCATTTAGATCGGAAAGGCGACCTTCAGTGCCTTGATCGATTGTGGAGCATCTCGCAACTACATCAGCCAAGACTTCATGGCATAGGTCGGGCTTGGCCCGCGCGTTCGAAGGAAAAGTCAGCCTACGCACGTCACGTTGGCCGATGGTCACACGCAAAAGTCAATCGACCGATGCATTGACTCGGTGGCGTGTACTTTGCCCGGCTAGCATGCGAGGTCGTGTCATTCCACATATTGGACACTAAGTTCGATATGATCTTAGGCATGTCGTGGCTGCAAAGCGAAGACCATCCGGTGAACTTCTATCGACGCACCGTTCACGTTCGTGATCCGCGTGGCGAATTAGTCACGTGTACGGTGCCGCTTCCTCATCCTTCGATTTGGTTGTCACGTGGTCTCCATTCGAGCATTTGCCAATCCATCTGGCGGAACAACATCGAGGAGATGGGCATATGTTTTCTTCACGCCCTCCCACCCGGTGACCAGCCCAAGACGGATACGTCGGACCCACGCATCATGGAGCTGTTGGATAGCTATGAGGGTGTCTTCCAAGCTCCCGCCGGAGTAGTACCGGACCGGCCCACACGCCACGGGATCACTCTCGAGGACGGCGCCGTACCTCCGCACGGATGTATCTACCGCATGAGCGAAGAGGAGCTTCAAGTGCTTCGGGCACAACTAGACGACCTCTTGGCCAACGGCTGGATTCACCCTAGCTGTTCGGAAGAAGAACAAGGACCTCTGTTTGTGCATCGACTATCGGAAACTTAATGCGCAACCGATCAAGAACGTCGGCCCGCTCCTTTCGATGACCTTCTCGAGCGACTAGGCGGCGCCAAGTACTTCTCGAAGCTAGACCTCACATCCAGATATCAGCAGATCGAGATCCAGCCAAGAGATCGGTACAAGACCGCATTCAAGACACGGTATGGGCACTTTGAGTAGATCTTCATGCCTTTCGGTCTCACCAATGCCCCGACTACTTTCCAAGCGGCTATGACGACGAAATTCCGCGACCTGCTCGACCGCACCGTACTCATTTACCTTGATGATATCTTGGTTTATAGTCGGTCGCTGGACGAGCACCTTCGGGCCGTTTTGGAGCGGCTCCGTATCGCCAAGTACAAGGCGAACCGCGACAAGTGCAAGTGTGCGAGTTTGCCCAGCAAGAGTTTACTTAGGCCATTACGTTACGCCGCAAAGCATTCGTCCGCTCGCGGACAAAGTATAAGCCATTCAAGATTGGTCGGACCTCAAGTGTACTACCGACGTCCGCTCCTTTCTCGACTTAGCATCATATTACATGCGCTTCGTCAAAGGTTTTCAACGGATCGTTGCACCATTGTCACGACTTCAGTCCCCCTTGGTGCCCTTCAAATTCAACGACGAAGCCCGGCATGCGTTCCACACGCTGAAGACGACTTTGCTTCAAGCTCCCGTCTTAAGCATCTATGACCCGACCTTGCCTACCAGAGTGACTACGGATGCTTCCGGTTACGGCATTGGCGCGGTTTTGGAACAGCATGACAGCACAGACTGGCATCCGGTTGAGTACTTCAGCCAAAAGGTGTCGCCCATCAACACTCTTGATGATGCGAGGAAGAAGGAACTGCTAGCTTTTGTCACCGTACTTCAGCATTGGCGTCACTTTCTCCTCGGGCGTCGGCGATTCACGTGGGCAACGGACAACAATTCGTTGACTTAAAACAAGACGCAAGACACGGTGAGTAGCACGATCGGTCGGTGGATGTACTTCATTGACCAGCTCACCTCCAAGCATATACCATACTCCTCGAACAAGGCAGCGGATGCTCTCTCGCGAAGACCTGATCTTTGCGCCTTGGTACACTCCACATTCGGCCTCGACGAGGACTTGCAACAGCATTTCATAAACGGCTACAAGTCGGATCCGGGATTCTCCACACTCTATGGGAACTTATAATCGGATCAACCCCCGACAAGCAATTACCGCATTGTCGACGGCTACTTGCTTCTTCATACATGAGGCAAGGACTTGTTGTGTGTTCCCCAAGACCGCATCTTGCGCACTCGCCTCCTTGGCGAATACCTCGATTCACGGTTGGCGGGACACCCTGGCATCGCATGCACACTTGCCCGACTCCGCCGGTGATTTCATTGGTCGGACATCATCAACCACGTCAACCTGCACATTCAGTCATGCGCAGTTTGCCATCGGAACAAAGGGCGCCATCAGCTCCCCTACGGCGAACTGAAACCATTGCTATGGATGTGACCGGTCCTTTCCCTCGCGATCGCCTTGGCCATGATGGTATTCTCACGGTCGTTGACCGTTGGAGCAAGTACGCCCGATTTCTTCCATGCAAGTATCATGTGACGACTCCCTAGCTCGCACGACTTTTGAATACCGGCTGGTTTTGCAGCCACGAAGTTCCGGAAGACATCGCCAGCGACCGCGACACTCGTTTCATGTCAGCCTTTTGGACGACACTCATGGTGGAATCCGGCACCAGCATGAAACCGGCTGGTTTTGCAGCCACGAAGTTCCGGAAGACATCGTCGGCGACCGCGACACTCGTTTCATGTCAGCCTTTTGGACAACACTCATGGTGGAATCCGGCACCAGCATGAAACCGAGTTCCGCACGGCATCCTCAAATGAATGGGCAAATGGAACGTGCGCACCATACAGCGCAGATGATGCTCCGCACAGTCATCCGTCCGGATCAGAAGGACTCGGTTGACCGCCTTCGGGACATCGAGTTCGCCTACAACACTTTGGTGCACCTGGCGATTGGCGTGACTCCATTCGAGTTGCATCACGGTGGACGGAAAGGACGTATCTTCGCAGACATTTTGCTTCCACGGGCTGCCGATATCGACGTCGCTTGCTCCCCGCTTCTACACGGAAGTACAGGGAACTGCTGGCCAAAGCCCGCGCAAACATGCAAAAGGCTCGGGTCTGTATGCAGCAGCAAGCGAACCACCGTCGCATCCCATGTCCAATCCGTGCTGGCGACCTGGTTTGGGTCACCTCCGAGGAATTCCCGCTCGAGCAGCACGTCTCGCGCAAGCTCCTCCCTAAGTGGTTTGGGCCATGGAAGGTCACTTCAGCAGCTGGCGACGACCCCGCGGGTCCATCTCTCATCATCGAGATTCCCCCGCATTTGGCGGTCCACTCGATATTTCACACTTCAAAGTTGGCGGTCTACACTCCAGCCTCCGCAGCGAACTTCCAGGGCAGACGGTCACACGACCCTCCTTCAATGGATGGTCACCAGGAGGTCGACCGCTTTCTCACTCATCGCAAGCATGGCAACAAGCCAATGCAGTACAAAGTTAAATTTAAGCAATGCGATCCTGACGACACACGCTGGATTTCACAAGCTGACCTGAAGGCAACCGCACCCCTCATCTTCGCGCATTATGAAAAACAGCGACTTGCTAAGGAAGCTGCCCAACCTGCTCGCCCCGTACGGACATCGGACAGACAGCTCGCCGTCGCAGTTCGCTTGGTCTTCAAGGGGGGGAGTGTGTGGCATTCTGAGCCACAAGGGCCCCAGTTAGGGCCCAGTTCCAGGTAGGTAGGGTAGGCCTAGGGGGACGACGGTTCAGATGAGGCCCAGGCAGGCCAGGGGTACGGCGGTTCTAGAAGGCCAGGGGTACGGCGGTTCAAGCAGGCAAGGGGTAGAGGCCCAGGCCAACGGCCACATGGCCAGTACCGGTCCAGCATAGGACCTACCGGCGGCGCAGTTTCAAAGGCTGCCGCGTTTAGGCGCCAAGTCCAATTTTGAATCTGGACCGTTGATCAGATCAACGGTCCAGGCCAGTAGGTACCAGCAGATAGGAGGCCGGCCCAGCACTACAAAAGAATGGGTACCAGCCTCAGTAGGGAGGTTAGTGAGATAGGACGTTAGTCTTGAGTATTAGCGCAACACTGCAGCGTTAGCAGGATTAGCCTGCGAGGAGA